ATATTGACCTTACAAATCTCGGGTTGCGCAATGATAGAGGCCCTATAAGTTTGTTTTTCATTATGCAAATAAGCATATGGATTCTGTTTTTGTTAAAGCAAGTAACAATTTTTTTTATGACTATCAATTTAATTATAAAATTTAATTTATTGCTTGTTTTTCAAATAAAAGTTTAAAAAATAATACTTGATACTTTTTCTGCTTGGCAACTGATACCAAAGAACGTAGACGTAGAACGTCTTTTGCCCTAGTGCGTGTTTTGATTGGATTAAAAGAGAAGGGACGCCCCTGTTGTGCACTTTTGCCACAATTATAACGAGTTGTCCCTTCTTGTTATCTACGTTCTTTGCCATTAGTCACACCCAAGTTTGAGTGATCTACAAGTTACAAGTGTTCTCAGCATTTAACAGTTCATTATCATGTACGGTGTAATATAACAAATTATACACTGAACTATGATAATCTGTACTAATATCTATAATAATAGACAATAATTTGCAATATTTTTCACTTTTGCAATTAGTTTCGGGCACTATTACACAGCCATGACTTGCGCTACTCTGCCATAGTACGGTTGTTGCTCCCTTTCATACCACAGTAATTTTGTATACAACTCTGAATCAACAAAATTCATGCCCTTCTCATTAACAACACTGCTCAGAATTAACCCCTGAGGATACTCAAAAAGTAATAAACTGTTATAATGTGCCCAAAAAAGCAAACCTGGGAAATGGAAGAGGAAGAAAAGGAAACGGATAAATTTGATTAGCAAAGCAAAAAGCAAACAAAAATGTCACGAATACCATCAAAAGATAAGTCCTGAAAAAAGGATCATGAAAAAGGAGAAAGCCAATCCAAGAAGAATTTTTCACCGAGCATACATTTTCTTGTAAGAAAAAACAGTAAAAAAATTCTTATTGGTGAACGAATAATTAAAAAAAAAACTATACGTATTAAACATTCGTTTAACAAAATAAAGGAAGAAGTGACTGAAATTGTTCTCTGAAGCTACGCTCATCCCATTTATAAAGATGAATAATCTGGTTAGTAGTAATGCAAGTTCCGATAACTGTGTGTATTAATTAGCTCCAAATTTTTTAGGATCATGTTAAAAATTTTTATCCGGAAAACTACAAGTTAGATCTATCAGAGACAATGAAAGCCGCCCTTTCGAAAGGCCCAGGAGGAGTAAGTGTTGGTGGGCTTGGTAGTGGGGTTGGTGGTGGCTCGGCTGGTGCCAGCGGCAGTGGTGGTGCTCATGGAATGGGCACAACAGTGTCCCATGGCGATTTGCAGACTGGCAGCAATTCTGCAATTCCTGGTGTTGGATATGTTACGGAAAAGCTGTACATGCTATTGCAGCTATACTTGCAAAATAAAGGATGGAATCCCAGTGCTGAATTATTACAATGTTTCACGGATTTAAAAGACAACGCTATGCTGCCTAGCGCAGCCTATTTGCAGTAAGTAGAGATTAAATAACATTCGTTTTGGAGGTTTTGTTACTGTTTTTTTGTTCTCTCAGGGTTCTTGCCAATCGCCTAACATTAGACGCACAAGGACGGTTGATACTACGTGAAAATGGCAAAATTGTACTACCATTTGAACATTTTGCTAATGCTGTAATGCTTAAACACATGTCTGGACCACATGGGTTACATTTAAGTGTTGAAGCCACTGTGCGCGCTGTCATCGAATCATACACCATAGGTCGAGAAAATTTTGGCATGGAAAAAGAATTTATTATTGAAGTAGTGCAGTCTTGCCCTAGCCCAGCATGTCGCTATTATAAAAACCATCTAGGATTGTCGCCATTACCCTTTATGGAGCAGCAATTTCCCGGAGTTAATCCGGCAGACTTCCTACAACATTTACCACACTTGCCTCCACCACCGCCACCACCTCATTCAATGGTGACCGGATCAGCAAACAGTGGTGTGCAGTCATCAGGATCTGGAAGCTCCGGAGGGAGTAGTAGCAATGTTGGTTCTAACAGTGGCAGTTCAGTAAGCAGTGGAGGAGAAGTCGATTTAACAAAAAGTTCGCCAGCTTCACATGCGTCAACTCCCAAGGTACCTGTGGTGCCACCACAGTTACAAATGCTCACAAAGCAGCAGCAAAACAGTATACAATCTCAGTTGTCGCAGCTTAGTGCTGCTGCAGCCGCCGCTGCACACCATCAGCAGCAACAACAACAAGCAGCTGCCGCTGCTGCTGCGGCCGCTGCTGCAGCTGCAGCCAAGCAACAACAGCAACAACAGGCTCAGGCACAGGCTCAAGCAGCAGCTGTGGCTCAGCAACAACAGCAACAGCAATTGACAGCAGCACTTTTACAGCAGCAACAGAGCCGGGCACTGGCTCAACAAAGCTTGGAAAAATTCAACAATTTGAGTGCTTTGGAAAAACAGCGAGTGCTACAACAGTTAGACCCTAAACATTTTGATCCAATGGTGGTGGCTGCGGCTGCCGCTAATTTACAACTGCAAGGAATCAATGATTTTAGGGTACGTCCATTTGCAAAATCAAATATTTACCAATTTCTGTATTTTAATATTTTTTTTATAATTAAATATTGTGCTAATATATCCATTCTGTAGGTTGCCGCAATTGCTGCCGCAGCTGCACAAGCCGCTGGAAGTTCTTCTATGGTATCTAATGCTGCAGCCGCTTCTGCAATTGCCACTAGTACTGGCATGAATAGCAACAATAATAATTTGGTTGGAAGTGGAACTAGCAGCAGTGGTGTGGGAAACTGTAGCAGCCCAGCTGTTTTGCCATCAACTAGTACTAACTTAAGCACCAGTGCCAGTAGCAGTGGCGGAGGACACAGTTCTGCTGGTAATCCTGGCAACACTACCATCATGGGTATTAGCGGCAACACTAACAGCAGCAATGTCCATCATAACCATCAGCTGCCCCCACCATCGCAATCACCTAGTGCTCATTCCAGCCACTCTGCATCATCGTCTTCATCACATTCAACTGAACAAATGGTGCAAAAAAATGTTGAGCTTTTGCGGTAAGATAAAAATATATAGCAGTAGCAGAATTAGCCCATTTTTATATCGACGACTGAGTGGAAGATCAACCGATCTCTCTCGGCAGCAGGTTCGAAAGCGCCCCATCCCAGAAAACTTTTCAAGAATTCTCTACTTCAAAATTTGTGTGAATTTCAGAATTTGATTGAAAAACGCCCTATCTCAGAATTTATTTCAAAAACGACCAATCTCAACTGAAACTATGTTGAGATAGGGCGTTTTTGAACCGAATTCTGAAATAAGGCGGTCCTCAAGAAAATTCAACGGTACGGCGTTCTTCAACCAAATTCTGTAGTAGGCCGTTCTTGAAAAATTTACTGAGATACGGCGTTTTCGAACTGGCTGCCGAGATGGATCGATCTTCCACTCAGCCATCGATATGCGGTCAACATATCGTCACCTGAAATGCAAAATCACGTATCATCAGCGTCACTGAAATGGAAAAAGTCGTGACTTTTTTTTTCATAAAACGATATGGGAATTGTAATTTGATGAAATATATCTTCATATAACAATCAAAAAGTGAATTTTGAATTTTTTATAAGTTACGACTTTTTGCATTTCCAGTGACGGTATGTAATTCCTTAAATTTTTTTGTTATATACATACATATGTACATATTCATTGTATACTTACGGACATATAGCTGCGAGTAAAATAATAGCAGGGTAATTCCATTGTGACGGGTGTGATCTAGGGCTTTTTAAATTATTCGAATAATTCGATTATGAATATTACTATTCGAATAGTTGATTCCCTTTAATTTAAGAATCGAAATTTTGATAAACATTTTTTTAAGTTTAATTTATGTGAACTTTGTGCAAGCTTTGTAACTTTTAACCGACTTCACAAAAAGGAAAAGGTTTGCAGTTCATCGGAATATTTTTTGATGTATGTTACCGCATCACTTGAACCACGTTAACCGATTTCTAAAATTCTTTTTTTAAAAGAAACGTGCTACCTCACAGGTGGTCGCATCCTTATTTGGTGTAAATCCGATCAATAGATCATGAAGAAATTAGCGATAATTTTAAATTGAAGTCGGTTTTATTTTTTGCTTAAAAATTACTTGTATTTATGCGGTTTCTGATAAAGAACGACCCATATTTTAAATGGAAATTAATAAAATAAATAAACATAAGTTACAAGCAGCATCATTTTGAATTTTACTGCTATTATTTTACTCGAAACTATGACTCTTGACATATTCGGGTTTTGTGAATATCCGGTCATTAAAATTTCTGAGGAAAAAATCATAAAATTAACGGATATCTCGATAACAAAATGAACGGATATTAACCGGATTTTCGAATCTAAAAATAACAATTCTTTGTGGATTAATCATTTGTGCTACTCTTATTATTTATTTTGAAAGTCGATAGATTCAAAAGAACGGATATTAACCGTATATGTAAAAATTATAATCTTTGCAGTTCCAATTTGGAATCGATTGAATCTAATAAAGACTTGCTTGCCTTGCATAATGGCGCCTGGACTGTGCCAGATAATAATCGTGAACCTTTACCAGTAGGCCAAGACAAAATAGTACGCATTTTTGCAGAACTGATGCGGAACATGGCACGTATGAAGACTTATATACGCCCATCAATGTGTAAACCGTATGGCAAGCAGAGCGAAAGCTTACAAAAAAGTGAGGCTTCTGTTAATAATTTACTATGAAATTATTTATATTCATGCATGACTTCAACTTTCTAGCACTTTTAGACACAATTCAAATCGTACAAACCCTACGTAATTGTTTGCCAGCACCACATATTCCGGTATCTTCGTGGAAGAGTGAGAGTGAAGGCAACGCTGGATTAATAACTTCTAACAGTGGTGCGGTAGGTAATTCCGGTACTAACATAATGAGTGGATCTGTTAGTGTTGGTGGTGGTGTAATGGTTTCAAATCGAGTGGAGAATTTGACCAATTGAATGTAAGCAAATAGTTTTAGTTTTCTCGTTGTTCATCTATAAGTCTGTTCCAGGTACTTCAGTATTTTGCAAGAAGGCTGTTCCCGTACGACACCTTACATAGGGTTTATTAATGTCGAAAACACAGCATTCGAAAATCCTGAAGTACCTGGATCAGGCTTTATAATAAGTATTTGCAAAAAAATTTCGTTTATATTACTTTTCCCCAGAAAGAGTTTTAGCTAAAATCGGTTAATAATGAACTAAATTATACTGTTTTAAGTCATCTGAGTCCTAATCCAAGACTTTTTTACAACCAAATTATACCAGGTGATCAGTCAGGCTTGATGATGCGCCTCAAGACGCTGAGTTGCACATTTCAACCGATTGGTAGCCAAGAGCCAACAAAATTTAGATGGTTTGAGTATAAAAACGAAGTGTAGGAAATAGTATAATGACAAATACAGTGCAAAGTTTTCACAATTCAATTAAATTAGCCAAGTTCAAAACAATACCATTTGTAGGTGGGCACTAAAAATTGGAGAAGCTCGGCCAAAACCAGCAAAATGGCTTTTCTTTGTAAATCACTTATCAAGGGCTTACATAACTATGCAATACCATCTATCTGCAATTTTCACAAAAATTACTTTCCGATCTTAGAACCTATCTGGGAAGTAACTGTCATCACTGATGTCAAATTTATCTTTGCAATTCTATAGTAAGTTCTTCTAACAAGCGATATACAAGGTCAACATTACCTAACATCATCGATGAAATATAAGCCTTAAGTGGATTTCATATCAGAAAAAAACTTCTTGAAAATTGAATATAAACCGTCAGTATATACAACTGTGAAAGCTTATCAAAATGTTTTCACTCTTGATTATATCGTCACTAGAGACGAATAAAGGCGCGCGCTAGTGTTTCGACAGCGAAAAAAGACGTATAAAAAAAATTGTACGAAAAATGGCGCTTAATAAAAACTTCGGCGAAGAAAGACGCGTAATCATAGATTTATACTTGGCCAAGGACTGTCACTTCAGCATTATTCGCCAAAAACTCTTTACGGAATGAACATACTGTTACAACCGCAAACATAGTTGACCGCGAAAATAAGTTTACGCATCCTTCTTCGCCGTCAAATATTTTAACGCGTCTTCGCCGTCAACTATGTTAAGAGTCTTTCTTCGCTGAAGTTTTTTTATGCGCCGTTTTTCGCGGTCAACTCTTGAGCTCGCGCCTTTATTCGTGTCTAGTGACGATATGTACACGAAGTTTTATGTTAAAGTTTCAGTATACCCTGAAATACAAAAAGCCTTAACTAACAAAAAATCGAAAATCCACCGGTAAACAAATTGAAATTGAGCTAGTCCTGTCAAAATTCTCTGAATCAATATTTCTTATTTTGCTTTTAATCAGGGTATTCATCTCGTACCACGTAAATTAACCAGTTTTCCATTCAAAATCAAGCAAGTTTACGAGGGTGAAGTGCTTACGAACATTTACGTGTTTAGATGAATTGCCCTTATACATACATATATACATGTGTATGTATGTATGTACATATATAAATGAAAAATAACACAAACAAAAAAAATTTTCCGTAAAATAGAGCCAGGAATGGTTAACTAATTTAATCGTATTCCTTGATTTAAAGAACGAAGTTCTAGTGTAGGTTGTAGGTAGGGTCGAGGTCATTTTTATTTAATTTAAAAGCAACCGTTATGTTCGCCCTTGATGCAAAACTCACTATTTTTCATTCGATTTTAAAAATCAAACAAAAAGGGACCTTTAAAATTTAATTTAATTTAATTAAAATTCTTAACAAAACGGAAGTTTACCTCTAAATCGAAGAATACGACGTCCTTTTGTGTTTCTATCAGTTTTTATTTGAAATATTTATTACTTGCATTAATTATATTAAAAAATATTTTGCAAATCGCATCGATTTCAAATCGTTCGATTTGCTGTACTTAGCTTCTTGGGAGTTTTCATCGGGTAAAATTAAAAAAAAAACCGTTATTTTTCTAAATTTTTTCTAACTTCACCATCATTAATTTTCAAAATGTCTATGAAAATTGTCAAATATGTAATATTTATCTAAAAGTCGAAGAAATTGATACCTCACCTAATGCAATTGCATACAAATTGTCGAAGTTCAGCAATTTAAGCAAAAAACACGCCCTTCAATTTATAAGTGTGCATGTACCGGACTATTTTTTGAGCAGTGTAGCTAAGGAGTTCATGAATATTTATTAAACAATTTTGAAATCGGACAAAAAACACGCGCTCCACTGACGGTCTCATGGGAGAAAAGGCAGCAAAATTATTTTTCTGAAATTTAATATTCACCTTTTGAACTTTGACTACTAGATTAAAACACTGTATGGGTTAAGCACTAGTTCAATCAACAGTCGAATTTTATGTTTCCTAGTACTACTGTCGCGCTGCTACTATCTTCGATTTGCTGTTGGCTTTGAAAATTCTCACAGCCACAGCAAAGTCGGAGCAAATGAAATAAAAAAAAATTAAATTATTTTCAAACGTTGGGCCTAGTGTAAGCTTCAACCTACCGAAAATGAGGGTAAACAATCAAATTAACCCTTTGACTTGTGAGTGCTATGTTTGCTACAAATTAGCATCAATTGAAATGCATCATGGTGAAAGTATGCCAGGTGTAGTAATAAGACCGAAATGAAAGATTTGACACTATCTTATTTGAAAATTTGCCTTTAAAAATTTGTATAAGGTGGCCGATGTAAAGCCAGAAAGTTGTTTTATTACTTCACCTGTTTATAATGTCACCAAGGAAATGCGCATTTAGTTTCTTATTTAAATATTTAGTTCTAAAAAACATCAGGCGCTTATAAAAAAAATGATTTAATGTCTTCTTCTACATACTTATATATGTATGTATATCAGTGTAAGTCCACGTCAGGACCGGTTATGTGAGCATAATTTTGTAAGAAACTACTTGTTTCTTGCAGACTTATTCAGTTTGCGTCTGCGCATCAACAGATGATATCGTCACTTCTGAATTTTCGTGTACTTCGGGCATTTCAGGCACAGGAACCTCCAAAGGCATGGGAACTGCACCTGGGTATAAAATTGCATGCGCTTAAAAATATTTGCCTGCAATGGGCAAGTAATAAAATCACTCGCGTTGAAATGATTTTCACAGACAAGGGAAGCATCTTTTAATTGAACGCAGCTGTTCTCCCAACGAAATCTTCTAACTTCGCAACTAGGCGTCTTAAATTATCGCACCACTTTAACGTCTTGGCTCTTGCCACACACACCGCAACGCTCGTAGTTTCTGCTCCTTTTTATTTTTGTACATGTATCTATAAATGGATGTGGTCGAAAAACAAAAAAAAAATCATACAATTCAAAACTATCTCACTGCACGCAATTGAATTTTTAATGAAAAACTAGCAGACCCGGCGAACTTTGTCCCGCCCAAAATAAATGTTTTTGAAACATTTTGATCCATGGTACAATAAAAACAGGTAGAAGCCAAATTGACATCAAACCT